GGGACTCTCCTTCACTGATGGTGGGACTATGAAGTGATACAACCACTGTGGAAAGCAATATGGCGATTCCTTAGAAAGCTGGAATTGGAGATACCATTTGACCCAGCAATCCCATTACTAGGTATATATCCTAGAGAGGTGAGATCCAGGACAGGAACAGATATATGCACTCATGTTCATCACAGCACTATTTACAATAGCAGAGAGATGGAAACAACCCATGTGCCCATCAGTGGAAGAGTGGATGACCAAACTATGGAACATACACACAGTGGAATACTATTCAACCCTAAAGAATAATGTAGAGTCTGCAAAACACCATATAATATGGATGAACTTGGAGGACATTATGCTGAGTGAAATAAGTCAATCACAGAAGGGCAAATATAGTATTAGTTTATTGTTGTGGAGGGTCAAGGAAAGGTTTACACATGGAGGGAAACTTTCTTTGTTGGTTGCCAGGGATGGGAGGAGAGGGGAGGGAACACCGCAAAAAAAGAAAAAAAAATGCATTGACCCATGTCACTTTAGTTTTATATATTTCACTGTACATAAATTATATTTCAATAAAATGCATTAAAAAAATGTTTAACTAAAAATAAACCCAAATTCCTTTTCTAATATCTAAACATTGGTTCTGTGGTTCTCTGACTTTTATCATAATAAAAAAGCCCGTTAGCACAACATGAAAAATGTCATCAATGATCCTAAGCTGTAAATGTGGAAGTTGTTATGTTGGCAAATGTCTTGTTGTATATGTTTTTACCACAATAAAAGTAGGGGGGCGGGGAGCCAGTTAGTACTTAAATTCCATTGCAACCAGATTCTTCTATTAGTGAAGTCAAAGATGTAAAAAAGTGAGAAATGAGAAAAATGAGGTTATTCCCTGGTGAAGGGACTGAATAAGTAGTAAACCACTCTAAGGATGAGAGGCCAGGCCAGGGTATGGCTGACTGCTCAACTGTTTTCCCAGTGCAGTAGTTCATGCATTAAATCTGAACCAATAAAAGGACCGTCTCTGAAGACCATAGCAGTAAAAGACAGGGATATTTTTTTAAAAAGGGGGAACAGAGAAAAGGAGTGGAATAGAATAAAAGAGGTGGCCCAAACCTATTCTGATATTTCTAGATAAACTACAATAATACAATAACTAAAAGAATTATTCATTGTAAGCAAGGACTCTCCTAGAATCTCCAAAGCTGAGTCTAAGCAAAGCAGTATGCACTTTCAAAACTTTACAAATTCCTTCAATTCTTTTACCTACATTCCATGTTGGCTGAGTCCATGAGTGTTGGTCCATCAGTGGACCAACAGTTCTGAGCAGTTCTAACTAAACTCCCTCAGAGGCTGCCATCAATTTCTGCCCTAGAAGTGGATACGCTTACCCATACTCATCTTGATTGGCAAGTTTTCTCTGCTTGCAGCTTCCACTAGATGTCTCCGAACTTCCATCACTGCCTCTTTATGCTTGGTGCTCAGTAAGGCTTCCCAGAGGATTTTAGCTTCAGTGTCACTGCAATAAAACCAAAAAAAGAGCTTTCAAACATATTTCTACTGGATAATGAAAAGGGATGAAAGGCAAGATAATTTTTTAAATATCTTTTTTGAACATTAGTATATGACCTTCCCCACAGATAGACTTCAAGTGTAAGGATAAAATAAACACAATTTTCATGGGCAAAAATACTGAGAAATTAAGGAGACAATAAAATCAAACCAGAAAAAAAAATAACAAAGGAAGAAAAGCTATACTGTGCTATGAGAAGTGTGGGAAAACGAGGATTATTTATGAAATAATTTTTTAAGATTTCACATTAACATCTATTTCAAACTATAATTCAACCAATACGATTCTAGAATAACATACAAGTGTTATGTTAGTCAAGATTAAACACATGCTGAAGGATGTTTTAATACTGATTTTGAGTGTGTCACTTTGAGATAACATATTTGTCTAAAATACATAAAGCAATCAGCAAAAATTTCTATTAAAAAATTACTCAACAGACTTCCCAATGAGTGAGGTTCCTACTGAACAAAAATCAGAGTTACACTAAGTAGCCATGGTCTTAAGTATCCCGCTTTGGGCCTTAGGTTGCAAGGATGGCACTTCCTGAAGCCTTCACAATTAACAGTTGATGACGGCTAAAAGCACTGCATTATGCATGGTCCTATCTGGGTTCACTTCCCCCAGTGGCCTTCTGTATCATCCCATGTGCCATATCCAAATTATGAATGAGTACAGTGTTCTTTCCAGAAGATCTCAGCCATGTAGCCAAGTATACACATTTGTAGTAATGTTTTAGAAACTAAATATAAAGAAACAAAGATGACTTCTGTCTCTTTCTAAAGACTTTTCCCTCCATTCAAAGCCCTGTCAACATTTTCATTTATCCTAGTCCTATTAGTAATAATTTGAAAAGAAACGCATTTTTTTAATTTTAAAAGTTATATCTACTAAAATATTTATTTGGTTTTGACAGTTATACCTAATAAGGTACATCTTTCAAGTTTGGATGTGGTTTGGAATAATGAAATGAATTATTTTAGCACTACATTTAATGTCTAGCAGATAAAAATCTTTCATGAAGTACTTATTTTATGTTGTTGTGTGCTATCAAATTGATTCCAACTTATAGAGATCCTATAGGCCAGAGTAGAGCTGCCCCACAGGCTGAAATCTTTATGGGAGCAGATTGTCAGGACTTTGCTCCCACACAGTGGCTGGTGGGTTTGAAACACTGACCTTTCAATTAACAGACAAGCACTTAACCATTTGTGACACCAGGGCTCCTTTAGTCTAAAATATATATACATTTGAGGAGGTCACGGGGAGAGTGGGTTTGGGCTGGAGATGGTAATCAAGGAGTGAAATCAAATGTACACAAACTGGTGAAAGTAAAACAAATTCTGCTCTGTAAATTTGTACCCAAAACACAATTTAAAAATAATAATAATAAAATATATATACACATATATATAATCACCTATTTTGTCATAGTGAACTAACATCATTACTCAACATTTTCCACCTGTTTTAATCTAGTCCAAACTGCCATCATTATAACTTTGCATCTAATATTCTAAGTTTAATTTAAATGAATAGGTATACCACACACCAAGCCTTATTCTTGATGGTTACGATACAGATAAAAGTAAAGCTTGGGCTTTCAGAGTGTAGAAGAGGGAGACATATAAGCAAAGATGTTCACACACACACACACACACACAGTGTGAAAAGAGCCAAGATCAATGCATGCATAGATTTCTTTAGGAGCCCAGAGGAAGGGCCTCTACACTGGCTGGGAGGACAGGGATTCTATTGGAGATGATGAGCAAGTACAAAGATATGTAAGCTCCAGAGACAGCAAAAGGGAAGGAGTTATATAACTCAATCTAGGACAGAAAGTGGTG